AGCTCATCTCTGCTGCCAGGCTAAAAATAGCTTCTGGTACGAGAAAATAAATAAACACACGAGGCACAAAATAGCTCAAAGGGAGGCGTGGCTGACTGTGGTCGTTGGATCAGCTGTTACACAAGAGTACGCTCAATTAAAAATATGCCGACTTTTAGAAGAACTTTTAGATGAAGGTTTCTCACATCTTTAAAGACCAAAACAAACAACCTGAACATCTAAAAGTCTCCGTGCTCTGCTAGTACTCATTAATCATGACCACATCTCAGTTTCAAACGCAGTTTTTAATCACAGATATCTCTTAGCATGAAGGTTTCTGAGTTCTCTCCACTCCAGATCTTCTGTAGGAGACCATTGTAGTCACAGTATGGAGACGTGGTCATCCCAAATATCTCGACTTGACCTCCAGTCTGTCTGAATCGAAGCCTAATCTCTGGCTTTTATATGTTTATCAAAGAGATGATATTTCAGATATTTCCAGTTCTAGTTTGTGCTCGCTGTCGTCCTGCTCAGCACCTCCACTGCACTCACATGTTAGTGGTCCTCTGCTGTAGGACAGGAATGCACCGATGAAAATACAACCGATCCATGTTCGAGTCTTTGGCTGCACAGTGTTTCATTACACTCTGCTCAAAAACCCAAAGGGACACTTTGAAAACCAGTAAATGGGGAAAATCCTGCTGGTATCTGTTATGAAACGAACTGGAACATGTGTTGGGAACAGTGGGATGCCACATCATTGATGGGAGTGAAAATGATCGAACTACACAGCAGAGTTAAATTCAAGGGACAGAGCGCTGTTGCAACTTCACGCGGCCCCTCATGTGCATGTAATGCACAATGCATAAGGTCTTTCTTATAAACAGGACATTTGCATAATAACTGAAACCTGCCCTTCAGTGGGGAAACCTGCAGTCAGCTGAGACTGAAGACGTCACCTGATGATGAAACGTTTCTCCCACAAACGCTACGTCCAGATGAACAGAATCAACTTTTGGAGATTTACTTACCTGGATGATTGAGG